TATCTATCTATCTATCTATCTATCTATAGTTATTATTTTAAAATGCATTTGTACATATATCAAATTAAATCATTTCCATATATATAAACACTTATATATATATAAAGTATGTGTGAATCATAACGTAAATTATTACAATATTAGTTGTATTAATTTATAATCATTGCAAAAAAAAAATGACGATAAAACAATCTAAAATCTATATCTAACAATAATATAATGATCGCAAAATCTAATAAAAAAAAAATGATAAAGGTTGTGGAGGATGAGGAGGAGGAGGTGAAAATTTTAACAGGCTGCACCATAGTTCTACAGTTAAACGTTATTCTAACGGTCGTGCTTTGAATTTTGGACGTCCGAAAAAGCTTACTCGTAATACATATGTACATGGGGGTCCCTCCGTCCCTCCCTCCTTCCTTGCCTCCCCCCCCCTGGTTGACTTGGGACCTACACCTTGACATTCGACCGACGAACGGAGAAAATCGTGTCAAACGCACCGCACTCGTGACTTCCTCGACCTAAATTTTAATTCACACGACGACGATGCTTACAGCGGTGCTATTAAAGGATAGACCTAACAGAGACTAATAAGAATACAATACCTGTTTAAAGGATCTAATATTCTTGGAATTCTTGTTTTTTTTTTCTTTTTTCTGATTTTTTGATTTTTGTTTTTGACTAATTTCATCACTCTTTTCTCTCGTCATTCGTTAATCGTCACGTTTACTTTATTGTATTCGTCATGTTACAAATACGTTTGTTTTCTTTTTATTCTATTTGAACGTTTCATTCAAGTGAACGTTTTCGATAATAATAAAAAAAAAATAACGTAAGAAAGTTGCGAGAGAAATTTGGATTCTTATATATATATCACGAAATAATATTACCAATTTATTAATAAACACACGGAAGAAATTAAATTAAAAAAAAAAGAAAGAACTTCACTTCTTTCTTTTTAATTTTCCAAATGAAGAATTTATATTACATTTATGAGAGTTAATTAAAAAAAAAACAAACAAATGTATTTACATTGAATACACATGTGTAATAATTTAACTTTTACAACGAAGAAGAAGAAGAAGAAGAAGAAGAACGAGGAAGGTGTCCATCGTCAAATGAAATAATCAAATTTAGAAAAAGGGGTTGGTTGAAATTAAAACAACCATGAGACGAAGAACGATGTCGCGATTTCGCGTGATCCCTTGTTTTTTCTATTTTTGTTGTTTTTTTTTTATTCTGTTTCTTGTATTCTTTTTTTATTATTTCTTTTTTTTTTTTTTAATTTTTTGTTGTATTTATTCCATTCCACGTTAGCCAAAGAAAAAGATAGCGTGGCCAGTGGTGTGTGCCGAGGCATAACATACTGCCAGCCACCAGTGGCATTACCACTTCGTTACGCTCCTGTATTTTTCCGAAACTTTATATTCCTCTCTGTACGTTGTGTTGCGTTGCTCCGTTGTGTTTCGTTGCGAATAATGCCACGAACCGTGGCAAAAATTAATGATAACACGCCAAACGTATATATATATACAGTACCAACCGTAATTAATAACACTAACAAATAAAGTCTTAGTTAGTTAGTTAGTTACGTGTGTGTACGTGTGTATGTTGAAATTCAGGAAGATAAATATATCAATAGAATGATAAAAATAAATATCTGTGTGTGTTTGTGTATATACAGGGGGTGGAAAAAAATTGATTAACTTCTTTACGGTATACAAATTTCAGATAATCAAATAGCCTAGCCCTCTATATTGCATAGAAATTTGATTACATTTTAAATGAAACTTAAATTGGTATATTTTTTGTATTAACACTTAGCCGACCCCACATGCGCTGCAACGAAACTGTATACGGTTTTCCACCATGGAGGTGTTTTTCGCAAATGACGTGGACTGATATTCAATTTATAATTTGAAACATCATAAATTAAGGCAATTATGTAAATTAATTGAAAGAAGAAGAAGAAGAAGAAACGTGTTGTGTGTTCAAATCAATATGGAAGATCTCTCCGATCGGTTGCAAGCACCGACTTACATAAAAACTGAGAGGATCTTCCCGATTGGTCGGCTAAATGTTAATAAAAGTATTACATAATGTAATAATGTAAAAACCTTTGAAAAAAAAGAGTTAATAATGAATTGTTTTGCATAAATATAGACGAAATATAAACTTATGAGCAAGTGTAGCTATTGTGTAGCAATGATATTTCGAAGTGGGACTAAAAATGTCGTCCCCACCGTGCATTACGGTGTATCAAACAAAAGGTGGGACACTTTTAAAGATACGTGATAAATCAAACTTGAATTGTGAAGAATTTTTCTTCAACCAACAACACGGTTTTTGGCCAATTATGTTTTCTAAAGGTACAAACGTATCATCTTACCTGTTGCGTCACAATCAATGAAGGAACCATGAAGAATCGAAGAAGGTATTCCTGAAGAATTTTGGTGTCATGTAACTTTGGCCATGCTTCAACCATCCATATCCTTACAAAATAAACATCTATGATAACAATCTATGAATAAACTTCCTGGCTATATAAAAAAAAAAAAAAATAGAGAAACAAATAAATTATACACGGAAGTAAAATTTTGACGAATTGCGGTAGACCAAATGGTTGCCGACAAAAAATAGAAAAAAAAAATATAAAAACCCCGACCATTGTCTTTTTTACCTTTCGGTCTTCCTACTTCGTTTTTTTTTTTCAGGTGGTCCATACCACCCGTTGCTCCATTCTGCCATTAAGATTCAGGAAGAATCGTTGCATCTTCAAAATATTTTTTTTTTTTTCTATAGAGTCTGTGTTAATATGACAGATTTACGTGTTCAACTTTGACAAATATATATAAATATATCACAACTGAGACTAATCGGAAATAGACATTGTCGGAAGTTGCTTTATAAAATTGAGAATATTTTTTATATCCTATGTCTAAGCTAGGACGACCAATAGAAGAAGATTTGAGGTAAAAAGGATACTCTTTTCTATACATAGACTTGAGTGTTGGTTGAATAGAAGAAGAAAAAAAAAACATAATTCTATTTGAAAATAATAGAAAAGGAAAAAAAAAATAAGTAAAAATTATTCAAAGATGGGTTACCTGTATAACCAACACTGTTAACTATTCTTTCAAATAACAGTTACAAAATTATATATATTATAATATAATATTATAATAATAATAATAATAGATATATATATATATATATAATATTAATAATAAAAATAATATTATATATAATTATATAATAAAATATAATTAATAAAAATATAAATAAAGAATATATAATGAAAAATATCGACAAACAATTGAATTAATATGATTGGATCTTTCGATTGAATAATACACAAGTGTCTGTAAAAATAACGAAGCTCCATAAGGTACACATAGATACATACATACATACATACATATATATATATACCCTGAAAGGATTCAGGGCAGTATGCCAACACGGTTCGCGTGGTAGGAGAGAATAAAAAGATAAAATGTAATAAGAAAGAAGAAGAAGAAGAAACAGAAGAGTTCTCCTTGTTTGCAGTTCCAAGCATCGAAGAGTAAATTCTCCGAGAATCTCCTCTTCGTCTTCTTGATACTCCTGTCGGGCCCATACGTCGTACCGTAGGCCCCGTCACACTTCGTAGACCGGCCTAACCGGCCCAACTATCCAACTATTCGCTTATGTTAGACAGAAAAGAGAAGCCAGTACTCTTCACTTTTACCGCGAAACGAGCTGAAAAGCGCGAGTTACTCGTACAACGAAACCTTTTCCTCTTCTATGTGTTTCTTTTTTTTTTTTTTGTTTTTTTTTTGTTTTTCTTCTTCCTTATTTTCTTACGTTTCTTATTTAACAACGTTGCATTAAACGTTAATCTATGAAAAGTATATCATACGTTATTTATATGTATATTAGTTTTGTTTTTGTTTTATCATTTGAAATCTTTTCTTATTTACGATGATTCTTAAAACCTTAAACACTGTATTCAATTTGATTGTACTTTAATTAAATGAAAATGTATTGTATATAAAAAAAAAAAAAATTGCATAAATTAATACGATCCCGGTGTGTTTTCGCCGTCCTGGCTGACTCAGGGTACCTTCCTTCGTTGTTTTGCTTTCTCTTTCGGGAATGGCATGCTCTAATTCCTTTGAACGCAAAGTTGTTCGTTCATCGTTCGATGGATGCGTCCTCCCTCCGCCTTTTTCTTTCTTCGTTTTAGTTTACTCAAAGATCATTCCCATTTCAATCGATTGATATATATCAGATTGAATTAAATAATCGATGATTATTTTTATAGAATAATTGTATAACAATAATACAATAATTTTCGTTTTATTTTATTCTATCAATTGTGTTAATTTAAATTAATAATAAATATTAATAAAACACGCGATAAATTTATTATAATATGAAAATAAATGTATTATATTATGTATAACACAATCTTATCTTAATATATATATATATATAAATTATGTGTCACGTTGTTTGTCAGCAATGGACTCCTAAACTATTGAACCGATTTTAAGAAAATTTTGCACACTGTGTGCAGTTTCATCCTACTTGAAAGATACGATAGTTTATATCTCAATTTAAAATTATTGTTTATTAACAAAGAGTCATAATTATCTCTATCTTAAGTGTTGATTTAAAGACGTGTGTATCGGACTGATTGTGAGCCACATCAACGCATGGCCGGGGCACCATTAGTATATATATATATATTTATATATTACGATAAATTACAAAGTACAATATGTTAAAAAATATCGTATACAGACATAAATTCTTTTAGTTTATAACATACATTTTAGAAAAATAATTTTCATTTTCTTTTTTTTTTTTTAAATCATCTAGTTTTGTCTTTAGTTTCATCTTTTTTTTTTTAACATTCAAATTGTAATTAGATGTATGCTATACAATAATACAATAAAAAAAAAAAAAACAAATATGATTGTTTCTTATTCGTTGTTAGAAATATTATATGATTATATAATATAAAATCAATAGTAATTGTGATGTATATAAAAAGAAAATATAAAATATAAAAATTACTTTCAGGTACATTGCATACAATTGAATGATCAAATTTAACACGAACTAGAAAATGCAATCACAGAACGATCCCTCGTGAAAGATCAATTAATTCACGAATCTTGACAAGATTAAATAGCAAAGTATGAGATTTTAAACTCCATCTCAATACCCAACACACATTTAAGAATAATATTTTTTGATTTCTTTCAACAAAGGTGTCTCCGTTAATTCATTTATCTCGACAAATCTTTTATTAGCTCTACTGAAATAATAAATGTCTCCTGTATAAATATCAAACCATAATGCATGAATATGTAATTCGTGTCTCTCTAATCTTTTCTTTAAGAAACCATAAGAAGCAATATTTTGAAGCTGTTGTAATGTATTAATCTATGTAGACAAAACAAAAATGAAGATATTAAAATAATTTCATTTTTAATCAATATCTTTGGTATGTTTACGTATTAACCGCCATAAATGCAGCAAAATTCCTTTAATGTGCCAATCTAAATCTTACATTGTTGCAAAGAATCATAGAATAGAAAAACTAATATCAAAACACTTTGAAAATTGAAAATTCATTTTATTTAGAAAAAATAGTCAATTGGATTTCGGTGGAATATGGGCCCAATATAGAATTTAACATAGATTCAAAACAGTCTCTATTTTCTTTAATCTGATATTGTCGCCATAACCCTGACAAAACCCTGACGAAACACTGACGCAACCCTGACGGTTGCTGTGTGCAAACAACAAGATTACTCTTTATTGGTGCATTAGCGGAATTTTTGTGCTGCACTGACGTTAATACGTAAATACCATATCTTTCTATTAACACTTACTTGAGACAATTTATCTTCAATGGCAAATTTATTTTCAGGATCAATGTAAACAACAAACTTTCGCAATGGTGTTTCTGCTTGAAACAAAATTGGTTCACGGAAACCGGTGATTTCAAGCTGTTGAAATTTGGCTAAACTGCTACTAGCATGTGCGCATAACCATGCTCTTAATGGTGATATCCTTCGATTCATCTGAAATTCAAATATTCATTATTTTACTTTGATGACAGATCAATATATGTTTGATATAAAAAGTAACTCACTTGAGATGCAAATTCTTCATCCTTCAATGCATACAATAAATTCATCGCTTTACAATCACTGTGTCCACAAACTATAATATGTCTGATGTCATTGACCACACAACCAAGTTCCAATGCAGCTGGTTCACACATTGTGAGTTCATCAGCGAAATGTTGAGAATGTGGAATCAAATTTCCTGCATTTCTTACTAAAAAAAAAAGAAATAAGAGATTTCTATTATTAAAATTGAATCTTTCAATAATCTCCAACATTATCATTTACAAAACAACAAATGTACTTCGGTGCTACGAAGGTGCAAATCTCAAATAAAAACTAAACACTACAAGATCTTATTATTACATTACCTATCATTTGAATTGTAATTTCATGAATTTATTTAATGAAATTACAAGACATATTGAAAATCCATGTAATTTACAACAATGATATATACGTACTCTACGAATTGCATTTGTTCAATTAATATTCATTTGAGGATTGTCACCTTATTATAGGCAGAGTCTCCAATACACCATAATGCATTAGAAATTCCAGATTCTTCATATAGAAAATAGTAGACATTGCGTGATTTTTTTTTTTTTGTTTTTTTATTGTCATAATGAAGTCTCGTACCGACAAACATGTCTCCAACATTTGTTTCCGTAAATCTAGTTGGTATCATCCGAGAATCCATGCAGGTAAAGAATACAGCTTTGGGCTGTGATAAGAGGAATGATAAAAGTCAATTGTGAAACAAATCAAAATTCACTATTATTATTATAATCACTTGAAATAGAATTTATTGATTATATCCGTTGGTTCTAAGCAATTATCAGTCGTTCTTATCACAAAATTCAACTTTGATTTTTTTTTCTATTCATATTATATTTTCTAATAAAAAGTAAAATTTTATACAGAAACATGAAATAATATAAGCTTTTCAGATCAATAGATTAAAGTAAAAAAAATAGTAATAGTAAAATCTATCATTAAGTATATAGATAACAAAGTCAAAGGGCATTTGAAAAAATTGTATAGAGACATTTCAAGGACACACAAATAAATGTTAGTATAAATCATATCATTGTATATAATAATTGTCAATTGTTTTTTTGTTTTTTTTTTTAATAATAATAATATCTTATTGTTATTCTTATATTAATTAAATATTTAATGTTACATACAATTATAATTTTTCGTCATAAATTTATAAATAAAAAAACTCGTTAAAAAGAGAACACTTGTACTTTTGTATATATAATAATAATAATAATAATATAAATAGCATACCTCAGGATGATCTCTAACTTTTTGAAATTGTTTAACCATTCCTTCTCTATGACACTGCCTATATTTCATAATACCTTTAATTATTCTATCCATTGTTACGAACTATACGTCAAAAGAGAGACTAAACAACTGTATGCTTACGCGTACAACACACGTGACACATAACACACTAGTCCGCCATTTGTCAGATTAAACGCGGCAAAATTTGAATTGATCTTATCAATCAATCTAATCTTTTAATTATTGATCGACATTTTCTATTGAAAATATATAAAGTAATAATAAAATGATTATCCATATTTATCATTTATTCGTTTATAATTATAATATATACATTATATTTAATTATAAATGCAAAAATTATTAGACTATTATTACTTTATTTATCTTTATAAACAATTACAGCCGTTAATCCATAATATCAATCAATCAATCAATCATAGATTATTTATTAATTACTTAATTTTTATGTGCGAGGCAGCGCAATTCAAATTGAATATTTAATTAAACGTATTTAATTAACACAAAACATACATATTAATACCATATCGTTGAGAATGTATTGTAATAATTGTTTAATCCTATTTTCCCTTGATTAATTTTCATATATTTATAACTGTACGCTATTTTGAAGAAATTAAATACGGTATAAGAAAATATATCTTTTTATAAGAAGATCACAATAATCGCTGTACAAATTTGATTAGAGTTATTGATATAATCATGGAACAATGATAATAATGTTTGATCTAAAAAAAAATGAAGTAATTTAGGATTCAAACTGATATATATATATATATATTTACCATTATAAATAATTCAAATAAAGTATTTTTCTTTATGGCTATTGATACTGGATTACTTGTTACAGGTTTACACAGATCCACAATTATTATGAGATGATACAGAATTTTTACAGCACCATCAAACATAGCAATTGAGCAAGAGAAACAAAGAAATATTAATTCCCTGTATAGTTATTCATATTTCTGTCATGAATGCTCATAATAAAAGCTGGATATTATTATTATTATTATTATTATTATTATTCGATGAATTATTTTTTAGCAAATACATTGCCAAATGTAATATTGGTCATTCCATCAGACTCTTAAATTCAACAGTCATTAACAGTTTGGACCCGGGTGACAATGCGCCTGGGTCGAGCTGACTTCTATCTACTCAATGCTGAACTTTGACTGGCTCGTTCTAATTTCTCAAAATGTTTACGTGCATTGCGAATATTAATTAACGTTGCTGCCGATGCTTAGAAAAAATTACAGAAAATTATTTGAAATTAATTAATCATTTAAAATAATACCATTGTAATGATCACATTGATAAATATACTTACGAATAGCTGGATCTGACATGATAACCGTCACATATGTGTTTGATGTGAATACATCTATGAATGCAGCAAAATTACTATTTCTTACCTCCATACTTTGAAACTGTGCTGCTAACTTACTACAATAAAAATTGATATTTATTATTTATTTGAATTATAATAGATTTGATTTAATATAACATGTTTTCTTACCTGCAACTTAATTTAAACTGTTTGATGATATTTGAAACTTTTTCAAAACGATGTACATCTCTATGTAGTTGTCTTTCACAATGGCTAATTAAAAGAAACGTTGCTCTTTCAAATAACAATACTTCATCAGCATCGATTATTTTTGCAAATTGATTTAAACTTTGTTCCAATTCTTCTACATTAGGTATCAACATGTACACGATAGAAGACCACGCTCTGTAATAATAAAATAAAAACAATAGAACACATACTATAAATAAATAAGAGACATCAAAATGTATTTTCATTCAAGTTAATACCTGTATAAAGTTTCATCCCATATACTAGTTCTAAAACAAGTACATCCAAGTGGTAAACTCAGTCTTTTGAGATCTTCCTCTCTCTCTCGTAGTATCAAATCACGTTGATCCTCTTGTACCAAATCCATTTTATGAACAAGACAAAAAATCTTTGCATCTGGACTATTTTGCAATATTGCTTCTAAACAGTTTTGATAATAATGCATATCTTTGTCCAATTCTCTTGATTCCACATCGAAGACATAAATTAACACCTCTACATTTCGGAATATGTTATCACGTTGAGATGCAAAATAATTTTCCATGAAAGCTTCTTGACCACCACAATCCCAAAGATTTAATACCAAATTTCCAAGGAAACGAACATGACTATGTTCTACGTCAACTATTCGATAAATATAATTCAAATTAATAACATAAACATAAACGATAAGAAATCATAACGAAATATTTCAAATGCTTACTTGTTGCACCTAATCGGCGAGTATCACGTGCTATATAATTAGCAAATATAATACTACGCATACTCGTCTTTCCTGAGCCACTTTTGCCCATCAACAAAACCTAAAGAATATACATAAACAAAAAAAAACAAAAGGTAATAAATCATATGTTTTTATTATTAACTATTACTAATACTTTATATCAATATATATCAAATCATAGTACCTTTTTCTTCATCTTGAATTTATAGATTAAATTCCTTCAAGTAACACTATTTTTGATAAATAACTTATTTAAGATGAAATTCTATTGACTAGTCAATTAAATCTAAAATGATTAACTCACTAGATAATGTCCATTCTAATACAAACATATGCAAGATCTCACATTTGAGGTTATGCAAATATATTTGCAAATTATTTTATAAATTGTAAAACTGATACGCCCTCCTTGATAATATATACGCAGCAAAATTCACTAACAATATAATATTCCTTTTATAAGATAATGAATCACAATACGCAGTATATTCGATATTGCTATACACAAATACAAACACAAATATATTACTTCTATCAAGTATTACACATAGTACTTTCCAATAAGGCGTTAAAGTTAACTAAACGGAAATAACTTTTGTACATTCATCGTAAATAAACAACAAAGATAAGAGAAACTAATTGTTGTCTCGTATTGATCATTAATAAATCTGTAATATTTGCAATCTAATTTTATTTTATATTTAAATGATAATTAAGATATACATTAATGTTTAATAAAGTCTCATCTTTATTCAACTTCAAATGTGATTAATTATTGTTGATACGATATATAAGAATTTAAACAAAAATTCCTTTTAAACGTGCGTGATAAATCTGAATTATATTAAATTAAGTAAAATCAAGTTTTTAATTCACCACTTTTTGCACCATACATTGTTCATTTTACATATCTTTTCATTAGCCAATCAGTACACACTTCCTTTGACCTGGAATTTCCTGATTGCTCAATTGCTATTATCTACTGACCAATAGACGATCTCCTTAAAGTAGTCCATTTAAATAGCGCGTTTTTTGTATTCATAATTTTATAATTTAATTATAAATATATGAATAGAGAAAGTTTATCATAATAATAATCATGATATAAATTGAATTGATTAAATAAATCAATATTAATAAATATTCATTTCTAATATCAATGAGACCAATTAAATACACGTTACTGTTATTCTAAAATGGCGGCAACTTTGTATGAATGTTCAGTCATAATGTCAAATAAATTATAATGACAATAATCATAAAAAATGATTATACTTCAATGAATTATTAATGATTGAATTTCTGCATATGTAACAATGCTCATATATGGAATTGAAAAGTGTAAAAAAGCAAGAGAAGTATATGTTCTATAATAATCTATACATACATACATACTCTAAACACATAGTGATAATAACCATGTATGATTAGGGAAAGAGGCACTAGCGGTGAAGATGAAGGGTAGGGAGAAAGGAAAGGGAATAGGGAGAGAGTGAAAATGAAAGAGGATAAAAAGAGAGAAACGATAAAGATAGAAGGTAGAGAAAGGAGGTAAAGAAGAAATATATTCAGGATATTATTCCAGTGTGGCGGCGCTTGTGCAGTTTAGAGAGCCGCTACGGCGGTGATTCGAGCTTCTTATCGGCCTCGAGAAGAGCCGTAAAGGAATAAAAGAAGGGAACTAAATAGAGGATACATATATATACCGATGGTCGTTTTTGGATAGCGCGATTATGAGCGCGAAATGAAGTAGCATCGATAAGGAAAGGAAACGTCGCGTGGTTCCACCTCCGCCGTATCCAAGCGTGGCACATTACGGACGTGTGCTTGAAGCGGCGCCATATATGCGATATATATTCGTATATTAATTCCTTAGCAAGTACGGCCAAGTGCGGCCAAGTGCAGTGACGGTGACGACGACGACGACGACGACGACGACGACGGTGACGGTGGTGGTGGTGGTGACGGTGGTGGTGGTGGTGGTAGTGGTAGTGGTGCCAGTGCCAGCAGATAGAAAAGGAAAAGAGATTGGAACCACGACTGCTCCCTTCTATCCTGGATGGGGGCGAGAAAGATAGCCGCGACGCGACTCTGAGAAAGAAGAGAGTAGTTAGAAGAAAGGAAGAAAGTATATAGAGGAAAGGAGAAGAAAGATTGGTGAATGCGGCGGGGTACTTTGCCTGCACCCGTGCGTGAATCACGCTTCCGAGGCGCCCGGCTGTCCCCCGTCTTCGACTATACCCCATCGTCGCGACATTGACCTGTTCGAGGACGCCGTCCGTTCTTTAACGATACCCAACATACTAAACGGAGATTTCTTTCTCCCTTCTTTACCATTTTGGAACAACCTTTTAAGAGTGACACCCACGAGGTGGGAGGGGAAGAGGCATTCTTTCTATTCGTTCCGATCCATGTCTTCTACCGGTTTATCTAATATCTTCCCTATTCTCGCGATTACCACGATAAGTAATATACTCGTGTGAATATTCATTTGAAAAGCTCGTCACATACTTCAGGATAAGATCATTTTTGTAATATGATGATAGTAGTGTTCAATGAGTCTTAGTACCAGCAGTGTTATTGCCAACAAGATTTCTATTATACTGTGATTAAAAAGAAAAGGTCTATCTATCATTTCTAAAACATTAGAAAATAAGATTGTTGATTTGAACATTAACAACAACAACAATAACAACAAGCATAGGAGCTGTGAATTATTTCTATTTCTAAATTAAAAAAAAATATATTAGAAACGCAGTCACGAAAAATAGACTGGCAAATAAGAGAAAGAAACAGGTGCAATATGTCAGACGAAGAAGATAAACCTCCAGCACCTCCTGTACGACTGACATCTAATAGGTACATGTGCTTGTCATTTTTGTATATATATCTTTCATTGCCAAATACCATATATTAATTTGTATCATATCATCTGTTTTTATTGGATATATTGATTAAGCTATTGCTACGCTTAATAAAGAACAATTTAATAATTATAACAAATTATATAAATAAAAGGGTATATATATAT